CACCTATCAAAATACAGAGCATTTCCTTCAACCCAAAAAGTACCCTCATACTCTTCCCCAGTCAACTCCACTGCCAACCCACCCCACAGAGGCAATCACTGTTTAGATTTTTTTTTCACCAACAATTAGTTTTTCCTATCTTAGACTTTACATAAATGGAATTATACAGGATATCGTCTTGTGTGTAAAGTCTCCCTGAGCATAATGTTTTGAAGATTAATTCATGTTATTGCATACGTTAGTAGTTGGTTCCTTCTTATTGCTGTGTAGCATTTTATTATATAAATATAACACAAATTGTTTCTTCATTCTCTTGTCAATGAACATCTTTTTCTCCAACTTTGGGCTACTCACGAATGGAGCTGCTATGAAATTCTCTTACAAGTCATTTGTGGACAAATGTTTTTCTTTCTCATGGGGAAATAATAAAAGAATGAGACTGCTGGCTCATAGGATAAATGCATGTTTATTTTAAAAGAAACTGCCAGTTTTTTTTTTCAAAAGTGGTTGTACCATTTTACACTCCCACTAACAAAAAGTATGAGTCCCTGTTGCTCTATATCCTCACCAACATTTGGTATTGACAATCTTTTCAATTACAGCCATCTGATATATGTGTAATAACAGCCACTATGATTTTCATTTGCATTTTCCTGACAGTAAGTGAGGTTAAGCATTTTTCATGTGATTAATAGTCATTTCTCTATCTTACTCTACTGTAGAGTGTCTGTTGAAATTGTTTGACTTTGAGCAAGTAACTTCCCTTCTTTCCAGGACTTCACTTTCCTCATAGTTAAATGGAAGTCACAAACTTTCATACCTAATGCCTTCCAATTCTTATATTCCTAAATTCCAGGTAGTGGTATAACTATTATTAAACACCAAAGGTAATTATTGGGGCTCAGAAGACAATATCCCCAATTATGGTACCTCCGTATGCCGAATATTTTTCACCTGAAGGAGACAAGAGGGCCTCAGAAAAAAAGGTATCCCTGACTTCCTGTCTTCTACCCCTCCTTCTCCCCAAAGCAAGACATAAAATCTAGAAAGGTCACCACTCTGACCTACTGCCTCTGAAAGTAGGTCATGGGGCCCTCATGTGATCTATCACCTGGAAGAAAGAAATGCCACTGAACAAACAGGCTTGCTGGGTTTCCCACTCAGTTTATTCCATTAGGTCATAGCCTTTTTGTCCAGTCATATTTCTCCACAGCTATCCACTTCTTTCATCAGACCTAGAATAAAAGAGTTTTCCCTGGTTCTATGGGTCTTCATTTCTGGAGGCTCCCATGTCATCTAAAACTTTGTTAAAGAAATTTGTTAGTTTTTTCTCCTGTTAACCTCTGTTTTGTTATAGGGTTGTCAGTTGTAAACCTTACATGGGTGAGGAAAAGATATTACTTTTTCTCCTCTACATAATCAAATATACTTCTGACCAATGTCAACAACCCCAGGCAGCTGAACAAAACTAAGGATCTTAACAGTTATAATAATTATAACAACATTTCTTTAGCCCCATGAAGTTAACAAAGCACTTTCTTTTTTTTAAATCAAGGACAATTTTTTTTTAATTTTATTTTTTACTTCAGTAATTTGGGGAACAGATGGTGTTCGGTTGCAGGGAAAAGTTCTTTTTTTTTTT